ATGGCGTAACATCAGAGATCGATGAAACAACAGCTGTTCAAGGTATTCAAGGTATTCAAGGTATCGGTCAGGATCTTTGCAACGTTTCTATTTTCTTGAAAAACTATTTCCTCGCAATCCTCTACAAATTGAGTATTTGTTAGCTCTGCAAGTGATTAACTGCTGCTGATAATTTGCTACCATACTTTTGCGTAACCCCAGTATCTTGCAGTGAGCAGTATAGGTGGGGAATTTTAAGCTGTTTCCGTAAGTGATATGAATGCCGAAATACTCCAAAAATTTTGTACTTGCGTACGGTCGCATCAAATGTTCAAACTGCATCACTTTTGCCATTCTTCCCTCTTGGCAGTCAGACATCCAAGAAAGCAGAAATTTCACGAGAATTCTAGCATAGCTTGTATGCTACCAAAAACTTAAAATCAGTTTCCACAAATGCTCAGGTCTCGCGCACTGGCACAACGAACTTGAGGATGCAATTTGCAAGCACTGCCTAAACGCAATATTACAGTAATCATGCATGCTGGAGACACTGAGGCCTCAACTGCCCGTTATGCAACGGTACCGTCCCATTCGCAGCTCATTTTCCTTTCACATGCAAGAAGAGGCAAAAATTTTACAAAAATTAGTGCAAATGCTGAATTGTAAATCAAAAACCATTCTTACTGTTAACGATTTGATTGATATTCGCGCAAAAATCAGTGGTGAAAAAAGAAAACTAACATCCGGATCACCATTTAAAGCCCGACGATCAACTGTATTCAAGTCATCATCATTCAGCGTCGTGGGTTCTTCCTCACCAGTATTTGAATAAATGATGCGACTGTACGTACTATCCTCACACCGCTGACGCTCCATTGTTGTATCATAGTAATCCTTGCTGTTGCCGTTACTGAGAGTACCTCAAAGTAGCCTGGTTCAGTTACAAAGTACTCGTAACTCAATAAACGATTAAAAATACAGACATCTACTAATAAGTAAGAGCAGAGTCGAGATGAGCACGGCGGAGGGGGAATTGATAGGAACGAGGCTTTTACTGACAAAAAGTTAATTTTTTATGAAAAATACAGTATGCTGGAGTTCCACTTAAAACATGAGGAGTGATGAAGTCAGTTTTTTCATAAATTTTATCAGTTTCAAGCGATAAGCGTACTGTTTCAACTTCATGCACTTTTTTAAACAATTTTTGGTCATAGAGGGGAAGGCTGTCTCACTTGCGGGGTTGAACCTTTGACCTTTATCATGGCACGTGCCCATTGGTCAAGCCCTTATGAAGCTATATCTACTTGGCATAAGCAAAACAATTTGTCCAATGATTTGAAATAATAGACCAACAGAACTGTATGCAGACGCCATGTGTAAGGTGATATTTTATGGTGCAAACTGCCTTTATCTGTTAGATGTAGTGGGGTGATATTTTTCGATGCAGTCTGTGTTTCACCCCTTAGCTGTAAACACAGACTGGACTATGCATGCGGGTAGGAGTGGGAATCGTCAGTACAACCTCCTTCCCACCATGTATTGAAAGGATATGTAACTAATTTGCTAGAAAGATGAGTGAAAGGAAAAGATAGAGGGAGTGAGAAGGAGAGAAAATATTTAATATGAAGTGGAACTAGACAAACGAAAAAACAGTACAGTTTAGCTTCACAAAGTCATACGACCTTCACAAATAACTCACGGCTGCACAAGTGAATTTCCCGTGTTTCAGTAGATACACAACACAAGAAAATGTATCGGAGAAAATGCATTACCTGACGCATAATTGATGTCGTAGCGTCTGTTCAACGTACTTGCAGAGAGCCGTGGCGGCATTTCTTGTTGATGACGGTAATACGGCAGGCTGCAATTCATTTCTTTGCTTTCTTTTTTAGGCGCATTTTATGTCTTTGCAATGCAAAGAAGCATATTGTCAATGATTTGTGTGTTTGTAACTTCCATCTGGAAATTTCGTTCTGGAGGCCTGCGAAAGCTGCGAAGGTGTCTAAATCATTGCTACACTTCTGGGATATTGAGCCAAACACACCCGATTTATCTATTCCTCCCCCCTTCCCCCTCGCTCCCCTAAAAAAAAAAACTGAACACACCGAGCTGCCAAAAAAAAAGTGAAAAAGTGAAAAGAAGTGAAGCCTGGCTTGGCACTCATTCTGGTTCACTGCTTTTCCTCTGCTTCCAACTCCGAATTATTGGCTGTGAGAAAGGTCTCTTTTCTCGAATCCAGTTTTATGGATTTTGCGATTACTACCCAATTTTGGCTTATTTCAAGTCGAAGCACAAAAGCCGTTTTACCTGTCTTCATCTTCGTTCCTTTCACCATTTCTATAACACTCTCGTTCAATGGTTGGACTCCATTGTGCGCCTGACATCTGAGGTGGCCTTGTACCACCTTCTCCGTATATTGGTTCCTTTCTTCCATTTCCACCATATATT